AGAACCCCTAACTAAGACAGCCACACTCATGAGGCAGTAGGCAAAACAGCTGCCTAAGTCTCCATTTCTAATCCTGTTCTCCACCCAAAAGAAATGAGGCTCCTTGGAGAAATGGCTACTTGAGGAATAGGGCAAGAAACACTCATGATGAGCTGGTGCCCCTTGGCTGCCGAAAGCAAGGACACGCTAAAAAAAAATCAGCAAGTCCACATGGATGGAGGCTTTCAAAGAACAGCCTGAAAGAGCTTCCAGCAGGCAAAGCTGTAACAACTGGGGTAATAACATAACAGTGCTGGATTATAACCCCAAACACAAGCCAAACAGACACTTGTCAATACCAACAATGAACAAGTGAATAGATGGAGGAGAAGAAGACAAGGATCCAAGAAACTTACACAGATATTTCACCCTAAAGGGGGGAACAGAATGTCCCTCTGATTAAGTGTGGTCTTCACCTGGACATGCCCACGGTTATAATATGGAAAGCAGAAAAGAAGAGGAACTTCAGAGTGGAGAAGCCGAGAGCCAGATGAATGTCAGCATCAGCGGTCTGTCAAACTGACAGTGAGCACCCTTCCTATGATTTCATACGATGGTGTTGACCTCTATTACCGACCCCCCCAAAGCACAACTCCATTCTCTTCGTGAGAAAAACACAAGACAAACTCAAACACAGAGAACCTTACAATGTGCCTAACTACTGTACCTCAAAATCCCTAAGGATGTCAGTCAACACAAGCCTGAGAAAGCATCAAGACCAAGAGGAGCCTCATGAGTCACAACGTCGCAGGCAGCATGCTGCTCCAAATGACAGCCTGGAAGCAAAGACAGGGGGCAGGAGGGAAGAACTGAGGAAACAGGGACGGATTTTGGTTAGAGTCACTGTATCTGAATCAGTTCACGGGTCGAGTGGAGTCTGGCACATGAATGCAGAAAGTTCACAACAGGAGAAGCTGGGTGTGAGGCACACCACAACTTTCTACACTACCTCTGTAGTTCTAAACTTACTATAAAAATTGGATTATTAAAAACTGTAAGATGAAATCAACAGGTCATTATAATCTAGAAAGAGAACCAAGAATGTACATGGCACTCATACATGGTAAAGGAAAAACTACGAACTTCGGTGGAAAGAACGGAATATGGGGTCATTAATTCTTAAGATGGTTGACAATCTGTGAGAGGAAAGAAGATCTCTGCCTCACTCTACATGCAAACTGCAGTCAGATTAAAATTCCATGTGTAGAAACAAATCTTTAAATTTATTAAAAGAAATCATAGAGAATATATATGCTCTTGGGCAAGAGGAGACGTACTTAAGCTGAAGGGGGAAAGCAATAACCAAGATGTGCTTACATGATTTTCAACTCTATAAAAGAAATGGGACTATTTAAGGGGGAGGTTAAAAAGAAAAGACAAGTGGCCAGCTAGAAGAAATGGCCCGGAGAGTTAATGTACATAATGTAAAATGAGAAATTCTGCAAATCAATTAGAACAGCGCCAGACAACACAATGGTGGAGAAAGGTTAGAATAGACATTTCCAGACAGGAAAGTTCAGTGGACAATGGAAACGGCTCCACAGAAGGAACAATCAACCTTTATCACTTCACACCCCATGTGTTTCCTATCAGACGACAGCAACTACGAAGATTGACAGTATTGAACACCGGCAAGAATGTGGAGGCCGGGATCTCTAATGCGCTCCATACATGGCGAACTGGCTTAAGAAGTCTGGAGGTCAACCTGACAACATCGTTATGTATGTGCATCTTTCCTGTTCAAATCATTTCAAAAGGAGCAAAAATCAGGCTTCCCTTTACAGCGCTGTGGACCATGGCATTGTGAAGTCATGGGAAACAGCCTGAGTCCACAGATGATGCAGGCGTGCAGGGCAGATATGTGAAGAAACAGGCATGACACACTTTATACACTCATACACTCCCTGCAAACAGCTCTCCATGAAACAGCATCTGCTATACACAGTTGGAGATGTAGCTCAGAGTCAGAGTTCCTGCCTAGCATGCACAGAGTTCTAGGTTCAGTCCTAAGCACTGCAAGAAGAAAGAAATAGAATAACACAATCTGCAGCATAGGCTAAAAATCTGTGATTGTTTGTTTGTTTGTTTTAAGAAGAGTCAAACATATGAGTTTTTCTGGTGCTACTGATCAAACCCTGAGCCTCACACATGCTAGCCATGTGCTCTACAACTGAGCTACATCTGAACTATGTGAAATGTTGAATGCACACACAACTCTTAAAGAATAGTTATCAAGCTGAGAAAGAAAGTGAGACTAAGGAGATGGGAATGTCTTCACGTTGTACTTACAAAATTCACTTTTTTTCCCCCTCAGTGAAATAAGCAGAAAGAGGAAGGTGGATCATTGCTAAGAATTTTTCATTAAAAAGCATTTCTGGGGCTGAGGAAATGGATCAGAGAGTAAAAGTGCTTTCTGTAGACTCATGAAGATCTGAGTTTGAATCCCTAGCACCCACATAAAAAGCTAGCCATGGTGCATATGTGACTATGAGAGCCCAGCATTCTGTGTGTGTGTGTGTGTGTGTGTGTGTGTGTGTGTGTGTGTGTGTGTGTATGCACATGTGCGCACATGTGCATGCATGTGGCAGGGAGACAGGAGGATGGATAAGCCTTGCTTGCTGGCTGCCCAACAGCCTGGCCCCATGTTTGGTGAGAGACCCTGCTTCGAAGGAATAGGGCACAGAGTGATAGAGCAGGCTATCCACATCTTTTTTCTAGCCTCCACATGTGCATAAGGGCACACACCAGAACACACATTTGGATACCACAAATACACAGAGCATTTTCCCAAACAACTACACTATGCACCGACACTAAAGTCAGGCACCTTTCTTCTGTGACAGGGCCCATGACCACCAGTAAAACGGTAACTTTATTCTCTCGGGGACTCAATGGCAAGATAACATCAACAATGTTGCTAAGCAACATAACATTAGTAAACAGAGCTTCAACTGCACCTGCACAGGATGTCTAAGCAGGGACTCTAAACATCCAATGCACATACCCCATTGTGACTTCTGTGAGTGGACTGACCTGGGAACAGGCATGACTTCCATGCCTGACTCAAACCTTCTGGCACACAAGTTCAAAAACATCAGAAAGCAGGTGTCGTATGTCAGTACATTTCTGCTCTAGATGACATGGCTGTGTAGAAAAGTTCTTTATAAATTCCATACCATCCATGCTATTTTCTGTGACCGAGAGCTCTCGGGTATAAATGCTTATTTCCATCAGCCTTTGAGTTTTACACCATTAGCAATACTTTGCTATCCATCAAGCTAACACAATTTTGGTGAATAGTGAAGTATAAAATATACTACACAACCACAGTACTCTTATGGCTAGAAAAATTTTAGCTATAATTACCCTGTCACTACAAAAAGTTCAATTATTCATTTTACATAGTACAACAAAACACAGAACTACATAAAAACTAAAAAGAAAAAAATTCAAAGGAGTTAATTCCAAATTAACATCCTAAGAGAGAAAAAACTAAAGTTTAACAGAATTTAACAAAAAATAAAAGTTCCTTACAACAAAAAAATAATCCACAGTCCAAGTCACTAGGCGAGAAATGGCTGTAAATGGACAAAGACAGCCAGACTGCACTTGCTGTAAGCACTGAGTGTGCTTGAACTGGACACAAGGACATCTGCCAGAACAGCAACTGGAAAGGATCAATGTGGTACCCAGGATTGGAATGGCTGGGGTGGAGATGGTTACCTCAGCTGGAAAGAGTGTGCGAGATCAGGACACCATAGCCATCGTGACACACAGGACATTGTTTTCCATCACATTATGTTGCCAATTCTTTTAAGGAGTCTTAAAACTTGAAGGCGTGGCCTGGGCAAGGTGGCACTCACGATGCTCCTAACCCTTGTGAGGCTGAGGCAGGAAGACTGTGAGCTTAAAGGCTATTCTAGGATGCATGGAGCAAAACCCTGTCTCAAACCAATCAAAACAAACACAAAGACAACACACAGCCTATTTCCCAAGCACGCTCACTTTTTCCTCTTTTGTGTTGGAGATTAAATCCAGCGTTCACACACATTAAACATACACTCTACTGGATCTCAGCCCGAGTCCCTCCCCCTTACTCTGAACAGTTCTAAAAAGCCTCCAGGAATCCATATTTAAACAGTGTTGATAGCAAGAAAGCTAACAATTGCTAGATTGGGTCAGAAAGGAGATTTTAATATACATGATATGTGTTTTGTTTCTAAGAAATATTTATTTATTCTAGAGACCTCTGAATATTACAATTGATGGGATTTGTTGTGTGTTCAGATGACACTGTTTTTAACATTTACTTATTTATTGTGAGTGAGGGTCAGTAGGTGTGCATGGTGAGAGTGTAAAGGTCAAAGGAGAACTTTCAGAAGTACATCTCCTTCTACCATGTGGGGCCCAGGGACTGAACTCAGGTCATCTGGCTTGGCAGCAAGTGCCTTTACCCATTAAGTCACAGCAACCGCCCACGGTTTAGTTTTAATATAACCTCTTAATGATGTGTAGGGACTTCCAGGTGTATTTTATCCCTGGTGATAGATGAAGAGAATAAAAACAGATAAATAAAATAGGAAGCAATAAGTCCGAAGCAAGTGTGGCAAAAATTTCATGTCTGCTGTTAAAGGTGCGTGACGGCAGTGTGGAGGGGTATTACAGTATTTTCCAGAACACTGGCCATTCTCAAATACTTCATTTTAAGCAATTAAGTGCACAGTGTTGTTCCAAAAGCAAGATAAGGGTATGGGCACGCATCACCACTACCTGGAGAAGAAAGCAGTCTGAATGTCCCACAGTCCTTCTGTCTAGTCCAGACCTTATTGTGACTAATTTTATGCCTCTCATGTTGGTCACAGATAAACAAATGTGGCTTATTTGCACCCACAAGGCTACAATCACTGGGAGCAATACTGATGTAAGAATGTAGGGAAAACTGTCCCCTTGGGTTCTCGTACCCATGTCACCAGCAGATCCTGTAGACAGTGCTGGCATGATGCAGGCTGCAGGTGCGTGGCCGCCCTCCACTCTCTTGTCTCAGGAAGCTCCGGGGAATTCAATGGCCTGCAGCCACACTTCACCCAAGAGTCGTATGTCCTGTTAGTCCCCTAGGAAAAAAAGAAACATTTATACATATATATATATATATATATATATATATATATATATATATATATATATATATATAAAACAAGCATCACTAAATCAAACATCCTATAACTAATTCAAAACTTATACTCGACACCAGTGAGATTGCAATTCTTCTACAGAATTTTTTCTGCAATGACAGGCTGATCTTTAACAGGGGAGTTTCTGGTTTTGATGTGATTTCTAACTGAAAGCATGCTGCCCCTGCATATGTCAAGGCTTCTGAAAGACGGAGACGTTTTCTTTAGGGGCTGCTCATCAGATGCATCGTGTCCTTTCAGAAGATTCTGTACAGTCAGTTCCTCCCTCCCTTACCCTAACCCTGGCTATATTTCCCAATGTGGAACAAAGACTATCTGAGTTAGCAGCAAACTACAACTCTGTGTTTCCATAGAGTTCATTCCAGCACAACAGCGGCAACGTTCTCTCCCGCAGGCTGAGCGCATCCTGACAAACTTCGTCAGTTGAAGTACAGCAGCGATACAGATTCACAGAAGTGGTAGCACTACGAGCTAAACCTTCTTTGAGCAAAAGTTAAGCTGGATGTATCCTGGAAAATACACTGTTTTCAATAACTGGCATAAGTTTATCTCTAAATAAGCAGGGAAGGGGATAGAGTGTAAAAGCTGTGCAAGGTTGACTCTGGCCTTACCTCTAACCCTGCTGGCTCTGTGATCTTGAATAACTTATTTAATCTTATTAAGCCCGAATTTCCTAATGTGCAAATGAAGATAATAACTTAGAACTGTGTAATAATTAAATATACCGAGGCATGCAACAATGCCTTGCATGGAGTAAACAAACAATAAAAGCTGGCTTGTGATAGTTTATTTCTTTAATTCAGGCAACAGAATTATAAAATTAAAACATAAAAGAAAGCAGCAAGATTACAATTCACCCAGCACCTAAGAAAGAGCCCGCCATGTGTTTTGAATTTGGATCACTGCAGACTAACAACGGAAAATACACATCATTTACATTTTTGTTGAAATCATAACTATACAATGCATTTTAGTGCACCCCCCATTCTCCATACAGAGAATCCAGTCATTTAAAAGCATATTTTAACCTATCTTAAAGACAACAAGGAAAACAGACACTGTAAACACTGGGAAACGATTCACTTCAATTCGTAAAGCTTCTAAGTTGCTGATTCATATTACAGAATCACGACAAACAAGCTTGCCAGACTTTACTTGAGAAAAATACAACTGTTAAATTCCAGTAAAGCCTTCTAAATTAGCATTTTAATTGCCAAAGTGAAAACTGATATTAAAAAATCCACCATCAAACAGACTTTCTTGGACTTGACTATCTGCTGTGACGTCTTACCATCTGCTTTACATTATACCAAAGACAAACACAGAACACACATAATACACATCCATACATGGAGAAATGCTAATTAAAAATAAGGTGGCAGTCATTTAAATTCCAAGTAAAAATGTAACTCACTGAGCTAAAAGTTAAAATGAAAAGGAGAGGGCAAGCCAGGCTCCACTCGTGCCCAGCTCCCACGCTGCTTTTCCTCCAGCAATCTTAAAGGGAAACTTGGCTTTGGTCTCAGAAATTATTCTAATCAGGATTAAGATTTAACTACATAAAAATATTCCTTATATAAAGCAAGGGGATAGACAAAATAATTCAAAGGCAAAAAGAACTCCAGAAAGACCACTGATAATAAAGAATATATTGTTAAAAGACTTTGGTTTTACTAACAGAAAAAGAAAAGAAAACTATTTAAAATGTATAAAGTGTATGCATACATATTTCTAGCATTAGGGTACTACCTCTTCATGACGTAAGCAGATCCAGTGCTTTCCATGTATGTGTATATATAACTTAGCTCTTTAGGCCACAAGAAGTCAGACCTTGCATGGCACCGACTCACTACATACACAGAAATACACACACTCTATCTATACTTCCCGCACCATGAAATCCTCCCCCTTGCCACCTAAAGAATTCACAATGCTTCACATTTATGAACTACATATGCCACATAACCCAATTTATACTTTCATCAAAAAAAAGTAAAATTTGTTAGAATGCGGTACATTGTCATTCCAGGAACAGTGACAAAACCCTGAAATCCCACTTCAAGACATCTTTTTAAGCCACTGTTACCATACATGAAAGTACTTAGCATGTCTTGTTTTTTTCATAACCGACAGTCAAGGTTAAACTTGTCCAATGCAGTACATTTATCACGAAGTAATAATCTTCTAAGTATGTATTATACAACATAATCATCTTCCTAGAATAGTGCAAATATATGAATTTTTTTAAAAACGGTTTGATATAATCCTAACTAGAAAAATGCTCAGCATTTTATGGAATGAAGTAGTGTTGCTGGATTTAACTTTCAAATTGGGTTAAATTTTTGTGTAATAATGTTATTTTCTTTGGCTAAATTGATTGAAAGGGCTTTGGAATTCATCAGAACACAGGCGTAATTATTACTGACTGTTGTATGGAACCGATTTACTACAACACAAAAATACCAGCTGTTACAGTATGTCCTGAGAGGGATTACTGGATATTCTTAAATTGAAGTTCAATCCATCTTTCCATAAAAAAGAGAAAGACCTGAATGCCAGGAACATAACAGCAGTATCAAATGCACCTGAGGCATTTACAACACCCAACAGGACCATTACAGCTTGCCTTTAAAGAGGCTTATTTTTGAAATTTCACTATTCCAGTTGTACCTTGCTTCTATATATCACACTGTATCAGGTTTTCCTGGCATTGATGACGTGGAAACAGTGAACTACAAGAAGGTCTACATGCTCACAATGTTCAATTCTACCCTGGCTATATTCAAAGCTTCTGTAGCACTCCTGACATCTAGTGGCGGATCACAGAAGTGCAAGCGCTTGCAAGATGATTGAAGATGATGATGATGATGATGATGATGATGATGATGATGATAATGATGATGATGATGATGATGGTGGTGGTGGTGATGATGATGATGAATCTGTGTGTTATGCATTCGAGAGACATGAATGTCACAGCACACACATGGCAGTCCCAGGACAACTTTGGGGATTTGGTTCTATCCTTTCACGGTGAGTTACAGGAGTCTAACTCTATTCCTCAGGCTTACACAGCAACACATGTACTCGCTGAGCTATCTCATCAGCCCAAGTAGTTTCTTTTTATTTCTCAGTAAAGCAAGAATTGACTTTATTCATCCAGAGACATAGTTCCCTTCAAAATTATTGTTTAATGTGAATACATACGGTGAATAAAATAATAAATCAATCTCTACTTGGGGAAGTATTCCAAAACATGGAAGCATTTCCCCATGTAATAATTATCAGTAGCCTGTTACTTCGGGAGACAATGGCCATGGTCAATGATTTAACAGTTATGCTTCCAGTTCCTAATCTAACTGAGCAATGAAATAATCCATACAACAATAATGTGTACAATATAAATCTATTTTCACCAATCTCTAAAGGGCAATTTGAGAAATTCATTAGTTAAAGTAAGCACGCTGGTATTTGTTAACACAGCTGCAAATCTTCAGAAACACAGTTGTAAGAATGTAAGAATGATAGAGGCCAGCCAGAGCTACTTGTCACAAATCTGTTTATACGAACTGGTGTTTAGGCCTGGGATGTAGCTCACTGGTAGGGCCCATGCCTGGAGTTCTTGATGCCCCTATTCAAACTTCCAGCACCATGGACCACCAAGTAAACAAAAACAGTGTGCATGCCATGCACACTAACAGTCCTCAAAGCATGTGCATGGACCACCACGATCTCAAGGGCCTTGCCAGAGGGACCCATGAGGTTAGACTATGCTCAGAAAAATGCCGAGACACTATTTCTCTTTTCTGCTTTCAACATCCAGGTAAAAGCACTGGTTCCTCAGCATGAATCATCAGGACCATGAAAGCATAGTCTTCAGGAAGGCAGCATTCAGGTAGGTCCCAGCTCACAGTTCTTTGGGCCTTGTTTCGGAAGTGCATGGTGTACGCAGCAATCAGGAATTACCTTCTACCTCTAGGGGGCAACTGAGGGCAAGAGCAATAGGCTGTATGTTTGGGAAGTCTCATAGACGGCTCTGGGCAACAACTCAAAGAGGGCTGGCTTCTCATGTATGGTGTTGGGGTTTTTGTCAGGTTGTCATTGGCTCTTGGAGGGAGAGCTGTCATCTTAGATGAGAAAAAAATGTATTTGAACTACACGTATATTAATATACTAAATTACATACACGGTAGGGTTATTTGGTAAGAAGTTTATAGTGACTCCTTGTGGCTTTTTCAGCCATCCATATTGCTATTTTACCCCACCTCCTCCTGCTATATTTAACCCCTCCTCCTCACCAAGGAGCCCCCTTTGCCCACATCCATTATCAGATCACTGTATCCTCCCACCCCCTTTACCCTCTTTCTGCCTTGTTCTATATTTACCTCCCTAAGGAGCCCCCTTTTCTCACTTCCCTATGATTACTTACACCCTGGCATTCTCCTCTCGATTGCTCCCAAATGTCCCCGCCCCACCATGCTGACAATGGTTCCAGTTTACTTTCCTGGACTCTAATTATTACCGACTATATACTCACATCTAAAGATTTGGAGCTAGAACCCTCCAATAAGAGAAACATGTGACATATGTCTTTCTGGGTCTGGGTTATCCTCACTCAGTATGACCTTTCCTAATTTTATTCATTTACCTGCAAAATTCATAGTCTTGTTTTTCTTTACCATTGAATAGCATTCCATAGTATATATGTTCCATATTATCAATATCTATTTTTCAATTCTAGGACATTTGGGTTGTTTCCATATCCTAGCTATTGTAAATACCATGGCAATGAACATAGCTGAGCAAGTATCTATGGTGTATATTAGGTCCTGTGGAGTAGCATAGTTGGGTCATATGGTAGATTTATTTTTACTATTGAGAATTCTCCACACTGATTTCCATAGTGGCTGCATCAGATG